ATCCGTTCTTCCAGAAAGAAATGGGTTCCGCAAGTTGTTGCCAAGTGAGGCCCAGGTGATTTGGAGGAGTGCAGACTCAGACCCTCATCCATTTGCACCCAATACTGCCAGAGCACCTGCTGCTCCTTTGCCTTGTCCTGGATCGAATCCAACCTCACGACCGTTCGTTTTCGAAAGCGAGAATCGTACCTCGGTATCCGTTGGATCCTCGACTTCCACATCTTTCCACCTTTGGGGCTACGCCAGCTGATAACGATGTTGGTCAATTCTGGCCGTGCACTGGCCCAGAACACCGGTGGTCACTAATGAACGAGGCACATGTCATCTAGGTGAACCATAAGCACTATTGTTACTAGGCTGTAAAGAACCCTCAAATGAGGACAGCCGATTTCTGAGTGGGAGTTGGTCTCGGCAGTGAGTAGGGATGTGAGGGATGTGAGGGGCGTGAGCTGTACGAAAGCCAGCCTCCAAAAGGGAGTACGTTTCCCCCCTTCACCATCCCCAGCATGTCCTACTGTTCTCCGCTGCAAAGAAGGATTATAGACTTAAAAAAGACGTCATCTGATCTTGAAAATGTATCCTCCTGGACTGGTCTGATGAATGAGTTCCATCAATTGCTTCCGGAAACCAAGGAACAAAAATGATCAAAGGCAGCTGTCGAGAGGTTGACCTGACCTGGGACCCAAACAAAATCAGTACATCGGGGAGTTCGGCAAACAGTTCTTCAACCTCTACCGAGAGCGAGCTACAGTTCGGCACGACTGCTCCCACCACCCTTCTCCTGCACCACCGACCGGAATGACCTCTGAGCTCCAAACTCTCTAAGCAGGGCATCTGTAGAGAGCCCACTGGAAGAAGGTGCACGGTCCGATGAAGCCTGGCTATTCTCCAACGGTGGGAAGCTCCAGTGGCTGATTTTCTAGAAACCAACAGCACCATCTTGTGTTTGCCTATCTGCGTCATTTGATGGTTGACCTCACCCATCATGTTAAACCATCTGAATGCGGACGTGCTAGAGATTTGGCCCTGGCCTTGCAGCACAGGTTTTGGGAGGATGTTATTTTACGCCCGGTGTGGATTCAACAAGCACAGACGGAACCTACCCAGGATCGGTCAAGGAATATCAAGGGCTATCCTCTGAACATGATTTAGGTCCGAAGGCCATCCTCTGAGAGTACTTGTAAACCAAAATCAATGTTCAGGAGGTACTCTTGTTGCACTACGACATACTACGACTCACCCTCAGAACCACCAGTACATAGTTTTTTCCAATCCCATACACTACGATGTTATTTTTGCAAGATTATGCATGGTTTAGTTATTCCAGGTCCATGCCACACTTGAAATTTTGAATGCTTTGCGGGAAAACACCTCGGCTCCAGTTGTTCGGTCGCACACAAACAACCAAAAAAACAAGGGGCCTTGTCTCATCAAATCAAAGAGAGAGGACCACATCAGCGAGGTTTGCACTCCAAAAACAATGATATTACTATTCTCAAAAGAGCTAAATCTTGGATGTGTTGAATTCAATTTTGATTAAGGAACAGGAACAGGAACCAACAATTTTCCTACCATAGTCATAGTGGTATACACATTGTGTTGTTTCCTTTAAAACTTGGCGAGCATTGGACACGTCAATGACAACATATTCATTGCGACCGCACAGGGGGCCACGCTCAATCTCCGGACCCGTTTGTGGTTGTGTGTTTGTGATTGTGTGTTTGTGGGGATGTGTTTGCGGTTGTGTTTGTGGCGGTGTGTTTGTGATTGCGTTTGTGGTTGTGTTTGTGGCCGTGTGTTTGTGATTGTGTTTGTGGCTGTGGTTGCGTTTGTGGTTGTGTGTGTAGTTGTGTGTTTGTGGTTGTGTTTGCGGTTTTGTGTTTGTTGTTGTGCTTGTGGTTGTGTTTGTGGTTGTGTGTTTGTGGATGTGTTTGTGGTTGTGATTGTGTGTTTGTGGTTGTGTGTTTGTGGTTGCGTGTTTGTGGTTGTGTGTTCGTGGTTGTGTGTTTGTGGTTGTGTGTTTGTGGTTGTGTTTGTGGCTGTGTGTTTGTGGGTGTGTGTTTGTGGTTGTGTGTTTGTGTTTGTGT